TAAAGTTGCAATTAACGAAATGGTTTTATTTTTCCTAAATTGTTTTCCCTCGAATAATACTTTCAAACGTCAAAAAGGAAACTGACAGATTGATTTTTTTAGGTTGGTAGCAACGTAGACTTGTTCATGATGTAAACCAAAGAGTATAAAAAAGACAAGCAGTCAAAAATCACAGACGACAAATAAAACTACCAATGTTGCCATATGCAACTTTCCATTTTTCTTTTTACTACCTCACTGAAAAAAAATTATAGGAGTTTTACTTTGGTTTATTGATACCAACAGACATAATACGACCGAAAAGATTGTATAAAAATCGCTTCATTTTGTGTTGATTATTAAAGTGATGGCAATATTTCTGTACAGGTGCGACATTTTAGATTTTAGCTGTAGAAACTCTATTAATTTTATTTGTCAATGTTGGCTCTGCACTAGTTCTGTAATCGCCAATTTATAAAAAAAATTGATGATGAACTTGTTCAATAAATTTACATCAGAATAAGCCTTTAACCCTTAAATGCGCGAATTTTGTTATTCATTAAAAATATTATTTTTTAATTATATTAGGTTTTAAGATGTACCGAAAAAATAGTTAAAAAAATTAATCGACTTACACCCAATGAAAATTTAAAAAAACCGTATGTTGCATATCTGCAACAGTGCGCACTTATAGGACAATACCATGTATGGTAAATTAGGTGAAAATTAAAAACTCAAAATAAATACATAAAGTTATTTATTTATTTATTCCTGATGAAATTTATAGAAACAATTATTGTCTCTATTGTAGCACAAGCTCACTCGGCATTTCTCGCAGTATGTAAACGTGTAGCCCTTACAATTCGGGTATTTACACCGGGCTCGATCCCCCCATTTTTGCCAGTGGTCGATTTTATCTTGGCGGACATCTTTAGGAGGTACAGTTTGTGCTGGTCCACGCTTCTTTTTCAACTGCAATTCAGCTTCTAAAGATGAAGAGCTTGGGCGGCCCCTTTTTGTACCATTGCTGTGAAGGCCAAGATTACATAATGCATTGGCCAGCTCTAGTCTAAATTTACATAGATTCATAAGTGTAGTATTGGGTCTGGTCTGTTTTAGAGTTTTTTTAGTTTACAATGGTCACGTCTAAAAGGTGGAAAAACAAGCGGTTTGTCCACTTTCTGCTTTTACGCGTAATGTGGTACCTTCCAATGAAACTGTCAAGCAGATCGACTCCTCCCATATGGGTATTATAGTCTTTTATTACGTTAGGACAATTTATTTGTACCCGCTGTTTCGTTGCTTTATCATACCTCGAAATAGTAGTCACAGGAAAGGCTCCGGTATAGGTTGACAGCAAAGTAACTGGTTTATTATCTTTCCATACTATTGCACTGATGTCGATACCATCGACATTGGCAACCTGTTCCTCATGGTGTCCCCTTGGTACTGTTCTTTTCATCAGCGTCTTCTTATCTGGCAGTTTATTATTTTGGATACGATTAGACTGGACAGTTCCCAAGGAATATATTCCTTCTTTTGCAAGATAAGTGACCAAGGGCACAGATGTGTAGTAATTATCGAAGTAAATTATGTGGTTTGCACGTCTTGGAACAATACGCATTAGCCGCACAACTGTGTTACCAGTTGGTCCTAAATCTGGTTCGCCATTTCCGAGAGGATTCTTATCACTGCCAGTATAGACCTCAAACTTGTGTGCAAATCCATAGACACTACATACCAAGAAAAGCTTGAATCCCCATTTATGTGGTTTATTGGGGAGGTATTGTTCTGGAGGTAGTCCTCAATAACTTGATCATTCAGCCTTCTCGCCATTCTAGAAAAAAATACGATTAGACTTTAGATAAAATACGGTAAATATATCACTCAAAAATGAAATTTCTATGAAAGTAAATTCACAATGTTGCACTTATGCAACAAACGGATTTTGAAGAAAAAAGTATATCAAACAATGGAATTTCCATAAAATTATTTATTTATTTTTCTTTTGATATTATAAGTAATATAAAAATAAAAAAACAAACAACACTTACCTTATAGAATTATAAAACAACTGAATAACAATTTTACACTAATTGCTTTTTACGTTTACCCGCGCCCGCGATATTATAAATTGTGATTATGAAGTTTAGAAATTTGCAATCGACCCGCCAATCGAACTGTCAAAATAAATATAATTGTCATCTATAATCTATGGTAGTTTACATTCGGATACACGAAACGAAATCTATCAAATCTTTTGAATATTCGATATGTTGCAGATATGCAACAACGCGTGTTTAAGGGTTAACTCTTTCAGGTACGGTAGAAATAATACGGAGTAAAATAATATTTACGCCAAAAAATAAAAAACGGGTGCTTTTTTTAATTAATTTATTTCGAGAGCAAAATCGATATGCCTCTTTTATACTTTAAGTCACTTCATTTTTATTAGATTTCAGTTATAAATAATACGACAAAACGACAATAAATATAAACACTGTGACAAATAAATAAAATGTATAAACAAACTCATGATTGTTATTTTAAGATAATTAATGCATATGAAAGTGATAAACATATAAAATTCATTTTTGCTTATAAAGTTGTAAAAAATGACACAAAAATGTTAGGTTGAATTTAAGTAGAGATTTTGAAATAGTAAGATAATTAAATTAAAACATGGCTGAAAGTAGTTCATAACATAAGTTGTTGGTAAGGACAATAACGCCAATTATTTGCTGGGATTTCTAAAGATCATAATGCCCTAATGTTTGTAAAAAAAATTAACAAAAAAAAGGTTCGTTATTAAGTACAATTGGTAAGTACATTATGTTTGTCTGAATTATTAGCGATTTTGAGATTCACCAGGACCATTGCGGTTTGAAGGTGCCAAAAGCCCATTTGTCGGGCAGACCTTCGTGCGTGATATCATTGAATGAGCTCTCTGACCATTGGAAGGGTTGTAAAGTGTCCTTGTTGAGCATTTCTAATTCCTCTTCAGCTTTTTGTTTGACGAGGTCCCGTATTTGAAGACCATCAATAGTTGGTTCGTCGTCAAACGCGTCGGTATATATGGAAGCAACGTTTCCTTTGTTCATCTTTATCTCTGTTAGGTTTAGTTTTGGTGGCTCCGTGAATGGCGGACTTGATATCGCGACAAGATCTAAGCTGTCGCCGTCCGTTGTACCTGTAAAATAAATTGGATTGACGATTTAAAGTTGGTGAGTGTTATTAGATGAATTTCTTAACCAAAGATCTTAGCAACTCGATTATTATTTTTATTAATTACGAGTCTTCTTTTTTGATTATCATAACAAATATATAAAAAAACTTACCACTAACGATTTTCGTATCAATAACTCCGTATGCTTCTTGATGTCGTCTCACAATGTCTCCTCTAGCTCCGAGTGCAGACCAGAGATCGGCTTCCTCTAGTATGCAATTTAATTCGTCGGAACATTCTGGAAGTTTGGTTTGATTGTCATTGAGCGCGGTGATGTTGTTCATGCGCATCAGTTGTATGATACTATCTATTGACGTGGCGTTCTTGTAGCCCTGTTTGAATGTCACTGAACGAGGCGATTCAGATTCTGAGAACATTTTGCTGTAGATAGCTTCCATTTTGGTTACGTGTGTTAATTCTGCTACGTCCTGTAAAAGAAATAAAGTAAAAATAAAATTCTATACAGAATTAAATATAGCATTAGAATTAAACGCTCTGAAAGTAACTATAAAGAAATATATCTTAACAATGCAATGCCGCTAACAGAAATGGATGTAGCACGGAGGTAGACATGGTAAAAGTATAACAATTGTTAAATCAGTTACTAAGCTTGACTCATCTTCAAGACAAGATAGCGCTTCGCTATAGTTACAATATAGGTCTAATTCACAGATTAAGTATGAGAATTTAGTGACCTTGAAGAAAGGGAGTCCGTACGTAGCCCAGTAATGGTTGTCCAGTAGCGCGGCGGTGAGGTCTGCGGACTGCGTGCGGCCCGGCACCTGCTCCAGCAGCCATGCTGCGCCCCGCCCCCGGCCCCCGCCCCACCGGTGGATGATCGTGTGCTTTACGTCCCTACACAACAAACAAAATATATTTATAAAGAAGGCAGGAAGACGTCACAACAACGTTTTAGAATACTACGTCATAATTATTTCGTATACGAGGTATTTATCATAGTGTTCATGGATAAATAATTGTTGGACATTTATGTTATTACAATTAAGGCATTGATTGAATGACGTCACCAAGAAAATAGATCCCACGTTCATCTGACGTCATCGTCTCGTTTAATGAGTTATTTTTTTGTAACCAACTTGTGTGTAACTTGCCGTGGTCGTATTTAGTAGCAATTAATATAATCACGTACTTGTTAACAGTAATCTCAGTGACGATTTCCTTCTTGTCTTTCACCTTCCCTTGCTGCACGCGATGGAAGTGCGCGAAGTCGACGACCAGCCACTGCTTGGCGGCGGTGCCGGAGTTGTGTGCGGCGAGTGTGCGGCCCCACGAGCTCACGTTCGCTGACAACTTGTTCGCCGCCGTCACACGGGGACCGACCGGCAACTGGAATTATTACGTACTACATAGATATTGCTACCTTTGAATGTTTTAAAAACAATAAAACACGATATTAGATACATATTGATTTGAGTTCTTTATCATTCCTGTAAAGCCAACGCTTGGCAAACAACGGCGAACAGCGAATACTAAACAACAAACGTGAACGTGCTTGACTGTTTTTCTATCAAAAATAACTTTCGGTTTACCTGCTCCGTGATGTTAACGCTCTTCCAGAGTTTCTTATTATAATTCCTGAGCGTGGTTCCCGAAACCGCCATCCTGTGGTTATCTCCCCTGATGATGTAGAACTCATCCTGGCTGGTGACGGAGCCCGGGTACCCGGAGAATTCTACCGACAGCCCGGGGACTGCCACCTCATCTGTTGATGTCTTGTGATAGCTCAACTTGTACTTCTTTAATATACGCGTCATTGAGGAATAACTGAAATAAAGATTAAATTAAATAAGAGAGTGAACATTTCATTTTCCTACTGACATAAAAAATCACAAGTAAAGATTGATGTATTTGGCTGATAAGTACAAGAAGCTGTTGTAATAACTCTAGCTTGATAACGTACATGTCTATATGTTAGTTTTCACTGTCGAAATATATTAAGATTTTGTACAGTTGCGAAGACAGTGGAAACTTTCCGTTTAAGGTATTTCCACGCAATAAACGGGTCATTGTTAGCTGCGTTTATACGTTCATAATATTTGGCATGACAGGGTAATGGACAAACGATGGTTACACGGTCTTTGCTCGTAACTAGATAAAATAACTGATATCTCTGTTTACAAACAAACAATCCAATGCGGCCATTGTTATCAGTGGAAACTGCCGGTTTACACATTACATATCTATAATTATTATTATTATAAGTACAACATGACAGGTAAAGAAACTATAACACGTAAGCGTCACAAAACTGCATGCATCAAAGAAAACGGATGGCGATTTGTTGGGTCTGACATCAGTGGAAACTCACTGTTACATGCATATAATATGTACGTATTATGTTAAATTATTTTCCTTATCATACTAATATTATATCTTACTTCTTACTAAATTATAAATCTGAATGTTTAGATGGTTGGATGGATGGATGTTTGTTAGAAGGTATCTCTGGAACGGCTCATTCGATCTCGATTAAATTTGGCATAAATATAGAACATAGTCTGGAAAAAACACATAGTCTACTTACAAAGTTTTTTTTAATTCAGTTCGTATTGAGTCGCGGGCGATAGCTAGTCTAAATAAAATACAATGAGATTTTGAGACAACCTACCTCCCAGCTGCATTATGCGCAAGATAAATTCTCTTCGTAGTTGTTCCATTCTCTAAAGTTTCGTTGACGACCCTTAGGAATGCGCTGGAGACTCCCGGCAGTTTGTTCACTGGGTTGTTGTCTATGGTTATGTTCATCTTACGCTGGAGCTCTACCACATCGGCCATAGAGTTCAGCCAAAAGAGTTCCGATATGTCTGTGTCGGACTTTGTGTTGGTGCTGCGTTCTGTGCCATGTTTCCAGCCAGTGTACATCCCGCTGATTTGTGTGTAGTACAATGAAACCTGCATGGTATATAATTATGTATTTAAAAATTTAATTTAGCTTTGACACCGGCAGAACACAAGGTTGCGGATTCAAGTTTAATTCAGTTTCAAAATTTAACGAAAGAGACAAATAAATAATAAGGAAAATATTTTGTTTGTAGATATAGGTAGATAATAGATACAAATCAGTAATGGAGATTTCTAGATAGTATACGTGATAAAAAGTGCACAATGGTTTGTGTTTCCGCTTTACTATTTGTTCAAAGGCTACTGAATCATAGCACTGCAACTAATAAGCAAATGTATTTTTAGTCTGCATATATTGTTTATAGGAAGCGGAAGTTACTTTCTAAATGTACACATGTTACATACCTATTTGAGTATAATATATGCACAAGTTATTCTAAAAATAATTTATATGCATTCATTACATGGTCTGTTTATGCATAAAGAATATTCTGAACATTCTTAAATAAACATCATGAAATCAAAATGCTTAAAAGATATTTCACCTTATAAAACCCATGTTTTAGATAAGCTGATATTTGGAGACAAAAATTGTGTCGTTATTTAGCCTATTTCGTATATCACCAGAAATAGCCAATAGATGATGAAAAGCCTATTTGAATTTAGAATAAAAAAAATAAATCAATGTGTCCAGAACAGCTAAGTCGCTTTAGTAAGTTGAATTTAGAATTGTAAAAAAAAATCTTACATGGTGCCAGAAGGGGTCTGTAGCTTCTCTTTCAGCTGCGTAGCTCTTCCAGATGTTGACAGATTTATCCAGCTCGTCTTTAACTCTGTCGCATTGGCGGTCATGCTGGCTGCACACCGCGCGCACCGTGTTGTCGAGATGTGAATGTATGAGATGGGATGTTAAGGCCCCCTCTACGATGCCCGCCGCGTATGCCTGAATGTCATCTCTGTATGTACCGTCAGTTTCAACTTCTAGAAGTGACCATCTGTTAAAGATTAAATACTGTTAATATGTTTTTATGTATGACTAGCTGTCACCTGCGAGTCCATCCCAGCAAATAAAAAAAAAGTTATTTAAGAGCCTATGTTTTCTTCCAGACTATGTTCTATGTACGCAAAATTACTGAGATCTGTTCAGCCGTCCTGGAGATACCTTCAAACAAACATCGATCCATCCATCTAAACATTAGCAATTATCATATTAGTAAGATAGTACGATTTGTTTTATTAAATGTTGTATGATAATTGTGGAAGAGTGACGTATTTAAACCAATGTAATTTTGTGTAAGTAAGGCATTTATCTGTACTTACCCTGTTGTTTTCATATCCAATCTGAAGTAAGCGCGGGCGACCCCTCTGGGTAGATCTGCCAGTTTATTGCTTTGGCCCCAGAATTCGATGCGGTACCCAGTCTTCTCGGAGTAGAACACTGTCGCCGCATAGTTACCGTCTTCTTGACTCCTAAATAAACATTATTTCAGAATCTAAGGGACTCTTTAAGTGACTACTTAACAATTTTTCCGTTTACCTTTACAAGATTTACAAAGTTCCCTTTTTATGTCTTTCTTAATTTTTTTAGTATTCAATTCAATTTAGTATTAATTGTATGTTAAAGCCAGCACTTTAAATATTTCAAAAGCAAAGATTGATTGATCAACATTTCCCATATCACAAACCTGATATGCCTACGCAAATATTATTTCTACATTATGTTATGATTCTATTTCGATATTGTAAACACATAAAGAATTTTAAGTAACGCCTATTACAACAATAAACATAGTAGACAACCAAAACTAAATATTAACACATCAAATATCTATTATAGATCTCACAGTTATATCAACTCATGAGTAGATTAAAAAAACCACAACTCGTTTAGCCAAAACACCAAAGCTAATTAAAGAAAAATATATTTATCCCTATAATATATGACAGCTCATTTATACCATAGTATTTTTTTTAAATAAATTTAAAAGCGTACAAAGATGGTAAACGCTAGTAGTAAATGCCTACACACCCAACTCTTGATGGCTGTCATGTCATATGTTCATAGGAAAAAGTAATTAAGTAAAGTTATAAAAAATAACTTACCTCTCGATCTGTCCAGCGAATAGCGCTATTATAGCCAGAACGCCGAGAAATCCCAGCACGTATGAACTTATTTTAGTCTGCAGCCACGAGGCGCCTACTACTTTCAGCATCTTACTCATTTCTTGAGATAAATGTATAATATAGATTTATAAAATAAAGAAAATATTAAGGAATTTAATAACAATGAAGTGACAGAGCGTGTAGGTGATTTTCTCTAATGGGGTAGCGATCATCAAAGTGGTGCGTCGACCGCCAGTGTTCACGGTGCCCCTGACGTTGCTCCGACTGCTGGTTGCGGAGACAGCATTGGATACCCTCCGCTGTTTTATATCACGTCTATTCAGATTTTCTTTCTTATACCTTTAACCCTGAAACAAAAGAAAAAGGCATTTATATTAAAACAAACAAATACACGTCTTCAAAGAAAAGAGTTTTGACAGTAAAAGCTAGATTAATATGGATCCAAGAGAATATTTATCAGTACTTAAAGGAAAAAATTGATTGTTTGTTTGCATTGAAAAGGCTCCTAAACTACGCAACCGATATGAACAATTCTTTCACTGTTGGAAATTCCACTATTCGTGGTGACATACTATATTACTAGATTTTTTAATCCACGCGGGCCGAATCGCGGGCTACTGCTAGTCTGTAATAACAGTAGACGCTCGTAATTCGTGTAATCATAAATTCGATTCTTTATTACTCGATGTTAACTTTCAGGAAAAAGCGTACATACCTATGTTAACTACAATTTCAGTCTCTCAATATCACAGTTAAATAAACACTAATTGAATAAAATAAACAATATACACCATTGTTATAACTTCACATGGAAAAACATTGTTCGGTTTGTTCGTCAGTTTGTCATAAACAACTAACAGGTGAAGAGACAGGAGTCGCTTCGCTGGCCTTTATCATAATATCAATACGAGATAAATATATTTCATTATTTAAACATCTTCAGCTGTATATAAACGATGTGACAAAATCAAACACAAGTTAATGCTGATAAATATTACGCATTTCTTTGTTTGTTCAGAAAAATGTAACTACAGTCGAACCTGGATAAGTAAGAGCCGTGTCCCTCATCACGATGTTTTTCTTGCTTAAAAAAGTTTTTCTCTAACACACGTTTCTCGGTTATGACCGTTGAGAGCAGACAGTCATTTTAAAAAAAAATCTCACTTATCACCACCACATTTTCAGTCAGTTACCAAATCAAGACCTGAACATTAGCTAAGCACAATCCTAACCTAACTAAATTTTGTTACTAAAATATTTGCGAAACCAACTATATTATACACACCTATGCATAAAGATCATCACAAGATTAACACACAATAAAAACACTTGAAATAACTCACCAGCCTATTTTTGTTATCAATATGATGTAATAATTTAATTTAAAAAAAAAAAAAAACCAAACAAAATCTGCACATTGAACGTGCTCTGCACAAGAGCACATGCTTTAAAAGTAAAGCGGCGACTTACAATGTAAGTTTTATACTATCTAAGTAACAATGGTAAAGACGACCGAATATGTAAGAATGGAAGAGCGTTAGGATTAAGATGAATTTTGGAATATTATGTTATATAATAAAAAGATAAAATGAAAATATTAAATAGAATTATTAGAGAAAGGAGAAAAGCACGCACTGTTACAAGAATATATTTACAACAACTAATGGTTTTAAAAATAAAGAAAAAGGAATAAAAAACATATAAAGTTCTAGATTCAAAAATATAACAATTAAGAATAAAAGAGTGTAAAAAGTTCCGTATCTGTCGGCAACATGCCCGCCCCCTGGTGTCAAAGACAAAACAAAACAAAACTAAAGAATAACATGTAAACATAAAATAAAGGGTGGCCGACAAATGGAACAAACAAAAATATAAAAAAGACATAAGAGACAAGGAACATACAATTAGATTATAAAAGACTGCATTGCACGAGTAGCTCCCACGCTCCGCTCATAAATGGTGCCGCAGGCACAATGAAGATGAGAAGTCTGCCAAGGCCTCAAGGATGCGATTCACACCGTCGAATGAAGTTCCGTTGTCCGAACATACTGTAGATGGAGCTCGTCTTCTCGCATAAATCTTCTGAGGGCGTAATTGTGATATCTGAAGATTGGATTACTGCCAGATGTACAGCTCGCACGGAGAGACACGTGAAGAGAGCGCCCCTCTGCTTTTCTGAACGGCGGCCATTAGACGCGGTGACTGGTCCAAAGTGATCCAACCCAATGCAGGTAAATGGTTCGGAGTGGTGAGCTAGCTTCTCTGAGGGAAGATCTCCGGCCGGTGGAATGTATGGCCGACCCTTGTTGATGTTGCAGGTGACGCAGCCATCGGAGATACCACGAACAGCAGGCCTACTGCGTAGCCACAGCAGGATTGATTCCGGATCCAATTCGAATGATAGTCGTCTTAAACGATTTCGAGCTGGCAAATTCGAACTTCCACGTAAGGCCAGGGCGTACTCTTGTTCAAAACTATTGAGCTGGGAGCGCAGTAATAGGAGGCGTTCTGTTTCTTAAGCGCCTGTAGCAGTAAATGATGTTCTTGAATGAGAAAGAAGGCTTCGACCTTGACATTTACTTAGAGCTAACTTAAATTGATACGAATAATTACAAGCAAAGGCGAATCAAACTACCACAACGATTTACAAAAGCAGTAACCAGAGAAGGCATTTGGATAGGAGAAGGTATTGGATTCAAACGAGTGCATTCAACTGCATCCGCGGAAGCACGAGCACGAAGCTGTCTTAAAACCGTTAAGCTATCCGTCCAATAAAATACCATCTCAGGTTTACGTTCGCGAGCTTCTAAGATGTATGTTGCAAACTGCGCTGCGACTAGGGCAGCTTGCAACTCTAGCCTTGGGATAGACTGGGCCTTAACAGGAGCTAACCGAACCTTACCTCCGATTAGACTAAGCGCTACACTTCCGTCAGTATATTCGAATCGCAAATAAGAAACGCAAGCGTAAGCCAACGCCAGATGAAAACGATTGAAAAAGCAGCTGATCCATTCGGAGCTAAGGGTTATAGGTAGTTTGGAGTCCCAGTCGATACCCAGTTTCCAGGTTCGTTGAAAAATAACGCGATCTTTAACCACTATAGATGTTAATAAACGGAGTGGTTGATATGCGCGCATTAAGAACGCTAAAACGGAGCGTTTACAAAGTTTCTTTGGAGGAGTACTTAAAGTACTGGAATGAGCTAAAACATAGCTATTGAGTACGAAACCAATATCGGGCTTCAATAAAGGTCCGGTTTGAAACTTACCGGAGGGAAGCCGACAAGTTGTTTCTTTTAAAATATTTACAGCATCTCGATCATCGCGAGAAAAATACATTGTGTTGGAATTCCCTATTGAATCACGAAGTTGATCATCAAGGGACTGGGATGATTCAGTGATAATACAATGATTGATTACATCTGACGAATTAGCATTGCCCTTTAAAGACCCATAAAGAACCCAGCCTAAGGAAGTCTGAACCGCTATGGGCTGACGGCGGGATCCTCGACGGATACATTGAGGAATGGTGATTTCCCAATTGTCGACCCCTATGAGTAAAGTAGGGACAGCATCTTCGTAACAGACAACGTCAGCTAAATCTGAGACGTAACTTATACGCTCTACCTCATCTTTTAGAATAGTTTGACGCTGTAGATTAAGATTTGGAATAGATCTAACATTCTTTAAATCAAAATATTTTGTAGAGAACTGACCTTTAACGCGAAGGTCTATAAAACTAACATCGGTTTCGGTGGACATACCGCTCACACCGTCTACACGAATACGGCTTTTTCTACCTACTATTCCTAACCTTTCGGCAACAGAAGCGTCAAGAAGTGAGGCGGTAGAACCGTCGTCGAGCAAGGCGAACGTGTTAAAAGAACCGTTAGGGCCCGACAAAGTAACAGGAATAACTTTTAGAAGTGGTCGGTTCGCGGATGGGCAATAACTATGAGTAACTACAATGGAAGAGCTATCGGGGTACGAAGATGTTGATGGATCAACCGGCTGAGACGAAAATGATGGATGATCAACCGGCTGGGTGACAAGAGTGGCGTCGGTTACGATAGGTTTATGAAGAAGCGTATGGTGAGAGTTTCTAAACTTACATGACTTTTCTTTACATGAAAACTTATTACAGCTGTTATAATGATGCGAACCTCTCTCTAGACACTTCCTACAAACCTTTGCCTCGGCAACCCAATGCAATCTCTTTTGAATCGAGAGAGCACGAAACTTTTCACAATTACGAACCAAATGACATTTTGTGCAAAAGAGACAAACGATAGCTGACCGATCCTTAGGAGAAACATCTTCCGTATAACAATCTGTCGCGTTGCACGTTACCTTTGTAAAAGACTTGGAATGGAAAGGCTCTACGAACGCACCAAACCTTACACGGAGATCCGCCTCGCGCATTAAGAAATCGGCTAAAGATTCTAACCTATATAAGCTACTATGTTGAACAGCAAAATCCGCCCATCGCGACCGAAGTAAAGGAGTTAATTTAAATATAATTTCGTTGCAAAGCTCCGGTGATGCCAAATATTCAGGACGATTTAATAATCTAACAATTTCCTTGCAGTTCAAAACCTTTAGAGCGAAGGCACTTAGTTCCTTCGTAGATTCTGCGCTAGATAATCGTGGCAACGCTCGAACTTTAGCAACCTCTGCTAATATAATATGCTCCGGACGCGCGAAGCTAGATTCTAAAACACGTAAGACCTCTTGTGGATCCCTCGCAGCAGCCAGCAAGACCACCACCGCCTCGCGAGCAGGTCCGCGTAAAGCAGCATTTAATCTTGCTAGATTTTCAGATGAGGAGAAAAAGGTACACGTATCATCGTAACTACGTTTGAAAATAAGCCACTCCGTAGGGCGACCATCAAATAATGGAAGTGCACTAACCTTTTGATTACTCGTCCTGGTTGCCGCGGCAGCCGCCACTTGGGCAACGGCCTCAGCAAGATGTAAAGTGTCGGTTTTATAATTTTTATTTAAATTGTTACAAGCATCAGTGTGGTGAGTGCCTAAGAACGTGTGGTGTGGCATGTGTGAGGAGGTCGTTGCCGTTGGCGCAGGCTGCGTGACGGGCGCATCTGCAGGAAGGCTACGACCAAGGAGCCGCACGGGAGGTGCCGCTAAAGGGCGCTGGCCAAGACTGGCGCCCAGACCAGCGCTAAAGAAGACCCCGGCCTGAGGGGGCGCCGACGTGACGCCTACCTCTTGGATGGCGGGGTAAGGGCCTGGAGGCAAGGAGGTCCCTGCCTGAGGTAGCGCCGATGTGACGCCTACCTCTTGGAAGGCGGGAAGAGGGCCTGGAGGCGCAGCGACGTTGGTATCGT